TGTACCATGCTCTTGGATAGAAAGACGTAACATTGTGAAAATGTCAATACTGCCCAAAGCAATTTACACATATAATGCAAACCCAATCCAGATTCCAATGACATTCTTCAAAGAGATGGAAAAAACAATTACACACTTTATATGGAAAGGAACGAGACCCAGGATAAGCAAAGCACTGCTGAAGAAGAAGAATAACGTTGGAAATCTCTCACTCCCCAACTTCAAAATGTGTTACATGGCTACAGTGGTCAAAACAGTCTGGTACTGGTACAATGAAAGATACATTGATCAATGGAACAGAATCGAGTATCCAGAAATTAACCCATCCACATACAGCCAACTGATTTTCGACAAAATACCTAAATATATCACATGGAGAGAGGATAGTCTTTTCAACAGAAGGTGCTGGCAGAACTGGAAAGCGATATGCAAAAGATTGAAACAAGACCTTTACCTCACACATGATACAAAACCCAACTCAACGTGGATTAGAGACCTAAATGTGAATCCCAGAATTATGAAGGCCATCAATGAAAAAATCGGGACAAATGTGAGGGCACTAATTTAGGGAATGCACAGACTACAAAACATTTTGAAAACCACACAAACAAAAGTAGACAAAATAGATGAGTGGGACATACTAAAGATTAAAAACTTATGTGCATCACAAGACTTCACCAGAAGAGTAAAAAGGGAACCCACAGAAATGGGAAAAAATTTTTTGCAATGATACATCAGACAAGGGACTCATTTCTAAAATATATAGGAAACTACCACATCTCTACAAGAAAAAGACAAATAATCTAATTTTAAAAATGGTCACAGGACATGAACAGACACTTCACCAGGGAGGAGCTCCAGGCAGCCAACAAACATATGAAGAAATATTCACAATCACTAGACATTAGAGAGATGCAAATCAAAACAGCCATGAGATGTCATCTCACACCAGCTAAGCCCTACAACGTTCAATAGACTCCTGTGAACCCGGGTGGAGACCTGTTTGGCCAGCAGTGTGGCAAGACCTGAGGACTCCTGGGCCCAGAGACAGTGACATAGCCACAGAGGACTAGAGTGGAGAATGAAGCATCCAGCTGATAAGAAGAGACGGCATATGCACAAGAACACCCACACTTGCAGATAATACCCACTTGACCTGGTTTCAATAGCTGGATGATCAGAGTTCAGCTAGAAGAAGAAAGAAGAGGAAAAAAAGAGTAATCTGATACAATTTGATGAACTTGACCTACACCTATGGATGCAGTAGCTCAAAAGAGGGAA